AAAAAAATCAATCAAAAACAATTCATTGCTCATATCAGTACCAAACTATTATATCTCCTAGGGGCTATTTTGTATCATATCATGCGCTAACCTAAGACACTACTAGTGGACATTTAGACAGGACATATAGTATTAATCATGGCAAAAATCAAAAACCACTAGACACAAAATATTCCTACGATTTGCAGCAAACATACAGAATCCAAATTAATACAAAACAGCTATGATTGTTCTGATTTAGATTGATATCTATGAAAAAAACTGGCAAAAAATGACTCCACGATAGACCCTAACAGACAGGGATAATAAGGGTCAGTTAGATGGGGAGTATGAAAATGATAACATAAGTCTAGACAATCATATCAAAGGCTAAAGTAGTTGAGATTTGATATAAAATTAAAATTATCATCATATAAATTAAAATAAAGCCGAACCTAGGTAAATTCTTGTGTGAAATCTGATACTGTATTTCGGAAGACCTGGTGTGCGTTTTCAACTAACAATGGATGTAAAGAGAGTGGCACACTAACACAGCCATTTGTTCATGTAAGTGAGAGACTTAAAAGACAGGAAGTAACAGTATTGCCTTGTATGAGGTGAGAATTGAGAGAGTGCGCGTAATGGAGAGGATGCTATATAAAAATACCGATAATCATTCCTGCGATAGTTGATTCTTTCCTACACCTAAACCATAGCGTGATTTAATTAGTTGACGTCTGCTTAGCATAGGAGGGTTGGCTTGTGTCGCCGCTGCCGATATGCTGCTAGACCAATTTTACCCGTCTGGACACATCATTAACTCTACTATCCAGTCCTGTTCCTGCCCAGCCTGCGACATCTCTCCCGTGTATTACATGGCTATGACCACATCAAATGCCGATCAAGCCAGATGCTGGAGTACTATTTAAGTTCAAGTAGCTGCCACATCATTTTCTGATAGGATTTGGTTTAATTAGTTATTTGAAGCATATAACGGCTTTCGGGCGCGTCAAGAGATTATAACACTGAGACCCGCTACTACTAAATCCGACAATATCTAACAAAGCTGAGGTTCTAGGATATTGACCTGACTACTTGCTCTAACCTGTCGAACTCCACTACTGCTTAACACCTCATAATTGATCGTCTAGCCGCTCCTCACAATCAAATAACTGGGTACAAACTCTTCACGAAATTCATTCCTACTAGGTCACAACTGAACAGACCTTGTGCGAGCGGAGTGCCAGTCAAATGGGTATCAATTTTTCTAACCACACCAGTATGTGCAATAAAGCTGAATAACTATGAAGAGCTCACTTAAAACATCCCACAATCTTGCTCTTCACTGGAAAGAAAATTGCCAGAGAGAAAATCATCAGATGTCGTGGAGCGATTGAGGAAGACAAATGTCTCACTACCACACAAACAAATCTCATATTTCCATCATGCTTCACATTGTTTTTTGTTACTGGTTTGACTGGCGCACTTTTACTTACATCATCCTCGTTGTGTTGCAGTGTCACTCAACAGGAAAATTAGTGCTGTTTATGTCTCGATCACACAAACTCCAGAATATACAAATAACAGAGCGATGAAAAATGCATTCATATAAGCTATTAGTGGA